GGAGTTCTACGATACCCAGGGTGAAATCCGGGGTACCGCATACCTTGAGCAAGAAAACGCTATCCAGAACTTGAATTGACTGATCTTTCTGACATGATACTATACTTTAACCCTTAAAGATCAAAATCTAGGTCTTAATTCTCTAAATCTTGTACCCCAAGATCAATTTAATTAGAAATAATAATCGACGGTTATGATTCGTCCAAATATAGGCAAAAAATCAATGTACCATCTTAGGGTTTATAGTTTATGATTTAGATGATTATGACCTAGGGTTCACTCATTAAGGGTTATGGTATAGTATCATGCCGAAAAATTCTGCTAATTCGAGATCTAGATAGTGTTTTCATACTTAAGGTATGCGGTACCCCGGATTTCACCCGGGGTACCATAGAAGGCACCATATATATATATATAGTGGCGTCTTTGTTGTACTCACTTTTTTAGTGCACTGAATGCACTCACTTTCTTGTTTAATATTAACAATTGAATACGGTTACAATAATTTGATGAGTTTATAATTAATTATTGACTAATAAATTATATTAAATTTATTAAAATACCATGAAATAATTTATAATTACAATCAGACCTCGTCATTCCTCTGTGAAAATAATAAAACGAACCAGAGGTAAATCTATACAATAAATAAAATCCAAATGAGAAAACTTGAAGCTCCATTTCAAATTTCCTGCATCCAGAGTGAAAGTAGGAAAGACATTTTGGTCTTCACAATTACTTTTTTTTATTCATTAAAAAGACACTTAATAGAATTCGAACCATGACCACTTTAAAATAAAGCAAAGATCATAACCAATCACACTAAGTACATTTATTGTATCTTTTTAAATTAAAAACATATAGTCGCAGAGAGGAAAAAAGACCTTCCCCCATTTCAAATTCCCTGCTTCAGGAGCGTTTGTAGGAAGGGTAGAATAGGGAGTGCCAATTTTTTTTCTTTTTTCTCTGTGGAACGGGCCAACTTACCGTACACATGCGAATTTAAACGGGTCTAGGAAGGTCAATTTTTTTCTTTAAGTCCTTTCATTTCTCCGTGGTGGTAAAATATATATGAAAAGGCAAAAACAATACTCCTTTTTATTGCTAAAAAGAAAAAAAATTAACAATAAAGTAATGCATGGATTCTAATGGGCTAACCGCTAATCATAAATTAAAATAGTTGAATGGGCCTTACCTACACGAGATTTGCCCATCAAGTAAAACAAATGAATATCATGGGTTTGCCATTCTAAAACAAGCTATTTTCTCTAGCATAATATATATTATGCTATTATTTTTTATCTTAGTGGCTAAAATATAATGTATTTTAAAGTTATTCAATGGTTCAATCTCGACCAACCCAATTAGTCCAATTTTTATCATTTCAAATATATATTATGTAATTATTTGATATCATAATGATTAAATTATAGTGTATATTATAGGGAATCGTTTGGTATTTGTTAGTAAAAAAATAAATAGAAAGATCTATTTCGTTATTTTTAACATTAAAATTCCTAAATATTTTCAGTTTCCTTTTGAAATTCTATAGTTTTATTCCCGAATCATTGATGTGCAAATGGCGAATTGCAGTCATCCCTTTTCTTTCATTATTATTTATTTTCAAACAGAAAGTTTAAAAGTAAAGAATAATTAGAGTTTGGCATGGGTCGGTCAAACAGGCTGAATTTCAAGTTTTGGCCCGTTTTGATCAAGTATAATTTATAATCACATGGTTTCCTGATACCCGATAAAAATCTCAATCCAAACCAGTTTGGCAGGTGAGTCCGTGTTTACCACCATTTTCTAGGGATACAGGAACGGTGGTTCCTATCCCAAATCGTGTTGTTCATTCTTGATTTCCTTAGATTTTATCATGACTTGGCAAAAAATCAGAAAGCACAATGATGACAAGATGAAAGTTTTATAAAGCAAATTAATCGGCCAACGGGCCGAGTAAAAGCTAGCAACGATTGTGAGATGCTCATTTCCCGAAAACTGGCGGAATAGGCGATTTTTTATTCGATTTTCTGGAATTCGGTTTCTATAAAACTTACTCCACCTCATCATATTACCAGAAACAATATTGTTTCACAAGGTAACATGTACTTGATTTTGGTTCATAAGGTTGATTTTTGATTCGTTGTATCATTCATGTCTCTTTCTTACCAAAATTCACTATTTTTATCACGTGTTTAAAAAAAAAAACTATACAACAATAAGCTATATACCCCATTACATTATCAAATTTCATACCTCACCTTCCTCCGACCAAATGATCTGGACCCGTGCTAGTAATTTTTATTCTACTCCATTCTCAGTTTCTTTCCCATATGAAGAATCGGTGCGGCTGCTAAATGTCAGTACGATGCCGCCGCCGACTCCATGGTCGAAGAACCTCCATCTCGGTGTCTCGAATCCATCCAACCCCCTCTAAATATATGATTTTCTTATTGAGGGATGATCCTCCCTATGTTTGTCTTCTGCTTCATCGAGTGGTGGGTTGGGCTGGAGGATGAGGATGGTTGATTTGGGCTATTCCGGCCCTAGTTAATCTCTTTCCTGTCCGTTTGACTTTCGGACATTTTGAGCCCATCCAAGCCCACATTGTCACCGAACAAACAAAGTTCGCATGACACTGCCCCCAACATATATGGGTTCCCGTTATCCAGAACCCATCTCTGATCTCTACCTTTTTGGTTGGACTATGAACAGAAATTGGGGCTATTAAGACTTACAGAATCCAGGAATGAAAGCCCAATATTAATGATCCCAGTCACTAAATTGGACCTACGTAGGCGATATAGGGTTCAAGAAGTTGCCTCTACATACAGAAGTTGTTATGATACCCGGCTTGATTCGACATTCTGACCACTCATAGCCCGAGTACATGTACACTACAACCATTCGTCACCTGTTATCTCTTGACTGAGATGTTCGTTGCACTCATGTTTTTTTCGATAGGAGAACTATGTTGTTGATTTTCCGTATCCATCTAGAGTATGTGGCACCTTTTGGCTTACATTCTATTCATACTCCAAACTCTATCTCACCTTATTGGCCCTAGGTATGATGCATTTGAGACCTCCATAGGTATGAGGCGATAACGTTGTTACGACATTTCCTTTTCTTTAAAAGAAGTATGAAGTAAATATGAAAAGTACTAATGAGAGGGTCACCCAATGCAGCTCCGAATACTCATTCATCCTATGTATCTAGTCATCGAATCAGTGCTCATTATTCATCATATTCATTTCAACAATCCATCATCTAAATACTATTAATTTGAGTATATTCGGAGAATAATACTTGCAATCAACAAAGTCTAAAACTGCTTCATTAGCACGTTTGAGTATTCGTAATAACAAAATACGTGGAATCCAAAATACATGTAAATCATTCCATTTCAAATGTATAAATATTTGAAAGTACGCTCTTGGGTCATATATGTGACGGTTTTCAATTGGTTGACATATTCTCCGTAAAATTTGAAATAAATAGTATTTAATTTATAAATTTACCTTAATACGTACAAGATAATCAATAAAAAAAAATTGGAGAAAAAAAGGGTAAGACAAATTATGAACCTGGACAATTTTTTAGTAGTAATGAACCTGGTCAGTGTAAGGGTTAAAAGTACAACTTTCAACTCAAATTGAATATGGCTTTTAATACTAAGCAGATTTATTTATAACAACCCCCCAAAAGGGTTCTTCTATAATACCATTTCTTGGACTTCTTCTTCCGTGTTCTTAATTACTCTTTGGTTTTCACTTCACCAACCAAAATCCCTCCCTTGGCTTCAAAGTTCCCACTTGCAAATTCAAAGGTGGATCGCCAAAGACACTGCTTCCCGTCTTCCTCCTTCATTGAAAAAGTGTAAGTAACCACGACCTTACTTACTACTTAATGTTGGTTGTTACCTACCACCAGTAGTAGTTTTGACTTCTTCAAGCCTTGACTAGCTTCATTTTATATCATTTCATATGATCTATTCGTCACCAATATTTAACTCTGTTCTTAGTGCACTAAAAATTTAATAATCTAGCTACAAATTTGACTATGACTTTACGCTACAATTTGATAATCGTGGTCTTGATATTTGTCAATTGTAAAGAAGAAAAACTACACCACGGAAAAAGGTGTATCAGAAGCATCAAACAACCAAAGTTAAAACTTCAACTTTGCCAGCCGATAGCTTTTGATTTTTGCAACATTGCCGGTCAAGCAAAACCCACAGCTAGAATAGACTAATTTATAATCGCATGAAATTAAAAATTTTGTATAACAATTTTTCATTGACGTTGTATATATATTTTGTTCGAATAAAAATTGCACGTTTACTCTTAAATGCAACAACATTGTGCAATTTCAACGATATAATCCATTCACATTTTCCCCCCAACATAATCTTATATACAACTGCACTACACAAAAACGAAAACAAAAATGCAAGTAAAACTGTTAGATAGGTACTTCAAAAAATGAAGCTCAACGGATAGATTGGGAAGGCATGTACCGCAAAATATTAATTTGCTCTATTTGTTACAATTTTTTTTTTATTTATAACGATAGTATGGAAGTTGAGAAAACTATCAAAACTCCTCTAACTTATCAACAACTCTACCTCTAACACCGAATCCAACAACAATTTTCAAATACGTTGTACCACCCACCAAATGCACCCTTAAAATAGTTGCCTAATAATCACTTCCAGTTCCAGGAGACAAAAACGGTGTGGGAGAGCATGAGGCAACTCGGCAAACAGCCTCATAAAAAAAATAATATCCCTCCAAACCAAAATCTAATAACAATGGACTAAGAAAATCTGTAAAAGAGCAAGAGAAAGGGCCACGACAGGTCATAAACCCTATGGAGCCAGCCAGCCAGCCAATGACCCAACCAGAACCAGGCAGTTCAACCTCAAAAGTCAAAACTTCCCACAAAAATGGCGATTATCATTTCACCAAACAAACGGGGGAAAAACCAAAAACAAACCGAATCGTTATTTCGTATGCATTGAGCAACCGAACGAAATAAAAACCCCTTCTTCCCTCCCTCCCTCCCTCTCAATACGCGTTTCTTTCATTCCCACCGCCCCCCTTTCTCCTTCACCGACGCCCCCATTTTCCTCCTTCCTCGCAGTTCCATTCTGCGGCAATCTCGGGCAGGGGGAAATGGGACTCGAGAAGGAGGTGCCGCCGCAGCCCACATTGCTGGAAGATCTGCTGGCGAAGGCCGGAGGCTGCGCGGTGATAGACGGCGGATTCGCCACCCAGCTCGAGACCCACGGCGCCTCCATCAACGACCCTCTATGGAGCGCTCTCTGCTTGATCAAAGACCCCGATCTCATCAAAAAGGTCCGTCATTTCCCCTGGGTTTCTCATTCCTCTTCTGGGTTTCTCCCAAATTCCCCTCGCCGAAACTGGGTTCTTCTCTCCGCAGGTTCATTTGGAGTATTTGGAGGCCGGCGCCGACATTATAGTGACTTCTTCTTACCAGGTTTTACCCCGGTGCTTATTGTTTTGTTTACCCAAAATAAGAATACAATGTAGATGTTTTTTTCCAGAATCTTAAGAACTGGGTCTGATCTCTTGTTCTGGATAGGCGACCCTTCCTGGGTTTCTATCAAGGGGGCTTTCTGTCGAGGAAGCAGAGTCGTTGCTGAAGAAGAGTGTGAGATTGGCCGTGGAAGCTCGTGACGAGTTTTGGGACACTGTGAAGGGCTCTCCTGGAGATGAATACAACAGGGGTCTGGTTGCAGCTTCCATTGGGAGCTATGGAGCTTATCTCGCTGATGGCTCGGAGTACAGGTTGGGATTTGTCTTCTTCTTCTTCTTCTTCTTCTTATTGTTATAGCTCAATTTGGGGGGTTTTCTCTTATTGTTCGTCTGGGGTTGTGCAGTGGTTGGTATGGAGAAGATGTGACCCTGGAGAAGCTGAAAGATTTTCACAGGCGTAGGCTGCAAGTTCTTGTGGAGGCAGGTCCCGATCTGCTGGCTTTTGAGACCATCCCCAATAAGCTTGAAGCTCAGGTTAGTTCATGGCCTGATAATCATTGAGAAACTGGCCACATTCTGTTCCAAGGGATTATGGCCCTGAGATGAAGCTTGCTTCTTTAAGACAGAACCAGAAATGATTTCGGACGCAATAACATAAGCGATAAATCCTGGTTGCAGGCTTGTGTGGAGTTGCTTGAAGAGGAAGAAATCGGCATTCCATCCTGGATATGCTTCAGCTCGGTGGACGGCCAGAATGCCCCTTCAGGAGAGAGTTTCAAGGATTGCCTTGATGTGATAAACAAGAGTAGCAGAGTGCCTGCAGTTGGCATCAATTGTGCACCTCCGCAGTTCGTTGAAAACCTCATCTCCAAGTTCCAGGAGGTAAAAAGGCGATATGAATTTGATCTACTCCTGCTGTTTCTCCTGAGTAATTGCTTACATGTTTGGTCTTGAACTGCAGTGGACCCAGAAGTTGATAGTAGTTTACCCAAATAGTGGTGAAGTATGGGATGGCAGAGCTAAAAGATGGCTGGTAAGTACTCGATATCATCCGACTGTCTCGAGTCTACGTTTCTGCACGAGACACATGATAGACTCATATGCTTTTGCATTTACAGCCATCAGCATGCTTCGGAGATGACAAGTTCGAACTGTGTGCTAAAAGATGGCATAAGTTAGGAGCCAGCCTCATCGGTGGCTGTTGCCGGACGACTCCTGCTACTGTGACCGGCATTTCAAAGGCCCTGAAAGAAAGATCCTCTTGACCACCAGCAACAACATCGACGTTCTCACCATATATGACATAGAACGATTACTTCACAGATCAGATACTTCATTCAAATAGTCAAGCCATATACATCACAGAAAGCATTTGTTGCCCAATTCATTTTATTTACAATGTAAGCTATTGCTTGCTAAATTATAAGAATTTACTGCCCCCTTCATTTACCTCAAGTGATTCCAGTTGTAACCAAAACAAAGTTGATTTATAACTACAGGCTTTTATTCTAATCTCTGTAGCAGGAATATGCAACATGAATACAAGGATCTCAATCTTCGAAACATACCATTATAAGAAGCTCAATGTTAACTCTCTTTTACCCACTACCATAACATGATTTCTCCTTTCAATAGCGAATACCTGGCTCATACATTTGAGACTATCAATCCCCATGACTACTCGGGTGAATGAAGACTTGGCCATGGCCCATGTGTATCATTTGCACTAGCTTTGCAACGACTGCATAGTGAACTGGCGTCGTTTGGCTATTCTTCTAGGCCAAACTAACAACAATTTGGCTTTTGAAGCTTGCACTGTTAAGGAATCACTATAGTGGCAAGTCAACGAACCATTAGCATAAAAGGGGTCAACGTCGGAGATAGTCATGGTTGTAAAGTTCCCCAGGATCATCTTCATAGCTATCACCATATCTGCTAGAATTTCTTGTTTCAGAGCTTCGATCCATAATTTCAAAGCCTCCATCTATTACACGAATTGGAAAGATCTGTTAGAGAACGTAAAATGCACATAATTGATAATAAGATCCTAACGCAGGAATCTGAGAAACAAAACAGCTTGGTACACTACCATATCTAGGTTCCTCTATTCGTGCATCCTGCTGCTGCTCAAGCCTTAGCTTCTCAATTTCACGGCGAATACATATGAGATTATTCTCAGTTAGCTGCATTTCTTGAACTTCTTCATGGTTTGCTCTCTTCTGGCACTCGAGTGTATTTCTAATGAACAGTGTAGGGAAAACAAATGACTGAATATATAGCAGAATTTACATCTCTGACTACACGAATTTTTGTAAAGCAAAACTCCAAACCTGGCATCGAGAAGCTGTTCGTGCATCATATCTACATCAGCTTTCAGTGAAGGCACTGACTTGTTCGCCATTTTTACTTCTTTAATGTCTTCTTGCAAACTGTACTCAATAGCAGTATAGTCCTCTACTGAATCCCTCAAGTTTTCAACTTCTACTCTTAACTGCCTAACCTCCGACTTTAAGGGCTCCCTTGATCGGACCTCTGCTTCTAGCTTCAATCCTGTGTGAATTAACTCCCTGATATGGGTCTCCTTTTCAGCCTGGAGTTGAGGTAGCCTTTCCTCCAACCTGTGAATCTTATCGTTCGTTCGTGCCAATTCACTCTGAAGAGCTATATTATCATCGATAATGGCTTGATTTTCAGAGATTATCCTCCTCATTTCTCTATCTAGATCATCGAGCTCTTCCTCCAAAGCTACAGGGTCAAGCTGCTGCACGGGCCTTGATCTGTTGTTCCTGTCATGCTGATGGCCATCTCGATAGCCTACCAAATCATCAGGATGCCGATGTCGATGCTTTCTCTTTGACATGGGGCCAGTAATCCAACCAAATTACCTTCACTGATTTGTTTACAACTGACAGCAATAAAGACAAGTGAAAATGACAAAGTAATTGATACACGATCTTTCAATGAGGAAACAGAAAAAGCTGCACTCCGTCCATTCTAACTAAAATAGAAAAATGCCACAGGTGCTGATTAAAGGTTCTGAAGGAACTTTAGCCAAGCAGGAATTGCAGGCTAAAACAATACATGGCATGATACTTTGACATACATTAAGTGCGATTTTTCAACTTGACTAATCTGGCAGGACAAAACACAAATATAGAGGAGGGAGGTGCTACCAGCTCTTTTCCTCTTACAGCCTTGGTCAGACTCTCTCTCACTCGATTCCATTGGTCACCAAAACTTGACTGAAGCCAAACATACAAAATCAGAAACCAAATTAAGTCCTATTGTGGCAGTAAAAGAGAATCCTAATAACAAAAAGTCAGTTGCTAAAGTTTCAAGTTTAAGACAAACCACACATCCTTATAGCTTATCTGATCAAGCCAATATACCTGAACTAAGGGTCACTTAAGTGCCACAAGTAACAGAAACAAACAGTCATTCTAACTGTGCAAGTTCGTCCCGGAACATAACGGCGGCAGCTATGTACTTCTCTTTCGGGATGCCAATAAGTGTAATTGGCAATTGGATGCTATCTAACTTACATTCATAAAACAAGATAATCGAGCTATTCTATGTCTTGACCTCGATGCCTATGCGAACCAGAGGTGCACGAAGATAAGCAATCCGAACCAACAATGCATTGTGGGACACCACCATGCAGGACTGCAATCTAACGCAGTCTCCATAAACTACAATGCCATCGCCATGCTCGTGCAAGGATCAACCCCGAAGCAATTACTGATGCTAAAAGAGGAAATTTGTACCCTATTTCCCCTAAATTTCTGCATCATCTTTCTATACCGCTCCGCCGTGTAAAGTAAAATGCAAAATCAGCAGAATATTCTCAGGCAAGGGAGTGAAAATAAGCACCCAGCAAAAAAACAGTAGTCGTCTTCGTCAACCATAATTCGTCGGAGATGGAATCCGAGAACGGAGAACGATTATGGACAACAACAAAGGGACAAGCTTCAGCAAGCAGCCAGAGGGATCCCGGTACAGTTAAGCAACCAGCGGCTCAGACGAGGAGAAAGAGTAAGAAGAACTTGGCGGGAATTTGATTTGATTTTTTAGGGTTAACGAGAAAAGGAGAGAAATGAAAGCGATGGACTTACAGAGATGGGTGGAAGAAGCAATTGAAAGTCCAGGGAAATCAGGACCCGAAGTCTCCGCAACTTCTTCACCGACGATCTCCGTTTTTCCCCCCACAAGGCCACAATCTCTGCCGGAAGAAATCTCGCTGCTTTTGGTTTCTGGTTGGCCCCCACCTCCCCGGCCAGCTGGGTTTGGCGGTTCAGGTGAAGACGACTCGTAAGCAATGTCGTTGGTTGCCGGCAATTAGTATCGTGGGCCGAATCAAATGGGCTTCCAGACCAATATCTTGAAAATTTGGTCCTAAATGAGTTACCAGCCCAGTCCATTCCGGCAAGCGAACCGGCATTTGCATTTCTTTTCCAAAGTGAGATCTTTGAAAAACAATACTCTGGGCCGATATTTAACAAGCTAATTTGTTCGATTCAAATCATTTTGGGAGAGTGTGTAATATTTATTTCATGTTCGTGATAGTTATAGTCTATCGTTGGCTTTTATGTAGAATTACTCCGGAACTAGAGACAATGTGATTTATTATGTGACGAATGTCATTAATTCGAATTCGTTTATCTCCGACTCTTAAACTTAACCGGTACAAAGTTATACGATAGTATCCAATTAACTAGAGTGGCAGGCTTATTGTCAGTGGCATGCCCACGAAAGTTGGTAGCAACAACCCATTACGGCCGGCAAGTGGCAAGGATGTTTGGAACGATCCGTCGCAGTTGATGTTCAGCGGAATATCACCGGGCGGTGACGCTGATGGTCGGGGCAATCGGCAGATCGGTCCAACGAGAAGGGAAGGTGCTGGGCTGGAAAATGACGCTGCCAGTGGCAGCAGGGAAGTCTTTGTCAAAGCTGCAACGAAAACGTCAAGATTTACCCATGAAGTTGCCACTGCCCAGAATTAAATTTTGGTGTTTTTTGGGGTTGTTTTGTATTGTTTTGGGTGTCAGATCTTAGAGTGGTTTTCCATTCCTTATCCGTAAATATATCCTTTAACTACCCCAAAATTATTGACAGTGAAAAATTCTATTCTCAACACGTAATGGAATTTGACATGTACGTACCTGCATAGTTTTCAACTGTCAGTTTTTTATAATATAACACACAGTTTTTCAGTTTTTATAATATATTTTTCATAGAGACAAATTTATCCTATGATGCGATATTTTCTGGCCCAAGAAAATATGATAGCTCTACCAAGTCTTTGAAATTGACTTAGGACCGATGTAAAGACTCTTTCAACTCTTGATTTACGTGGCATTATTATCATGTTATCTGTATTATGACATTTCATTTATCTGTATGTCAAAATAAGTAAAGATGAAAATTTTTTGAATGTTTCAAATTAATCTCGAAGAGCTTTTGCCAGGTTTCCCCTAAAAAATAATAATCTCAAAGAGCTTTTGGAAAAACAAACACATCACTTTTGAACATTATATGAAGTAGTTTAGGGAAGATGTGAATGAACAAACTATAAAGTCTCAGTAACTCAAATTATTGGAAAATGTTTGGTTGATTCTACTCATGTAGTGAAGTAGTCAATATCATTCTTTGTTATACGCCAGCTAAACTTTCTGACTCAAAAGACCGCTCTTTTTGGCCCATGTCCCCCTCGCGTGACGATACGAGGACGTAAAAGGGAAAAGGAGAGATTGGGTTTATCTCGCTTTTGGCATAGCAGGCCCCCAGTCGGAGACCCGCACGACAGACTATTTGCTTAGTGGTAGAGTGCGTGAGTTTTGTATGTCATTCTTTTTCTTTTACAAAAGTCTCTATACACAATTTAATTTATTTCTCGTATTTATTAACTGCTTTACGTACATTTATACTATAATTATCTCCTTCGTAAATCTCATTCAATGATTACACAATCTACCAATGATATCCAATTTCAACGTACAACATTGGTTTGAAATGAACCTGACAAGCTAAAGCAACCTTATTAGATGATTATCGATGAATAAAACAGTGTATGATGATTGATATAACGACTACAATAATTATCGTAATTGGAATACACAAATTTCAAACGATGAGTACAAAACAAATCTCTGACTTAGTTAAAATTTCGCTGACAAATACAACCCACAAAAAAGGGAGAAAATTTGCGAGTGGTGGGAGCCCTCGTTGTCGTTCAAATCGATCCAAGCAGGATTGGGCTATGATAGCGAGCTGGTGGGCCCTCATACCCAGAAATCCATTGACAGAACCACCCTCCAATCACAACACAGGCCCAAGGATCACCTTCCCTCCCTCGACCAATAGCAATCCAGATAACGCCCTCTCCCCTGACCCCACCCCTCTCTGCGGTCCCCCAGCTAGTGGTGGGCATCGGTTTGGTTCGGATTAATCATATTAAGAAAATCACGATCCAATAGTGAAAGACAATTTAGAATTAAGGACCGAACCAATAGTGAATCCGGTTCGTTTAGTCCAGTCCAAATATAAATTCGATCCATTTTTCTTCAATATTTATAAAATTCATGAGAACAAGGACCGGACTATATTATATTCGATTCGATATGATTCGATCCAAATATTGACTCCGTCTGGTGTGGTCCAATTTGGACCAACCCATTTCCCACCCCTACCCTCAGCTTAACACCACCAAAAGATCCCTCTTCTCCTAAGTTCCTCTGCCAACAAAAACAAATAAAGAACATTGTTCATGTAAAGAGTTTACTGGTAATTAATCTTTTTAATACGATGTTAAGAGTTTTTAATTAAAATACATTCATATTCTAATAATAACAATAAATATGAATAAGTAATGTAAATACAATATATAGGGGTGGTTTGGATGGGTAATTGTCAATGTGGTATTTGTAAAGCCAAATAACTAATTTCAGTAAAACGCTGCAAATGTGGTATTTCAGGGGTAATTGAAATAAAGTATCTCGTTTGGTTGAACCATGCAAATGTGGTATTTGGTAAAAACAGAGTGGTAAAATAAGTTATTTCCAAATAACACATGGGTATGAGTTATTTGTAAATAATTCACTATCCAAATAACTCATTTCAGTAAAACGCTGCCAAACGAGTTATTTGTGTACAAATAACTCATACAAATACTCCATCCAAACAACCCCTACATGATCAATCGATACAAAACCTTTCTTAAATTATTAAGGATAATGTCTATTTATTATCCAAACCTTTTTCGGATTCTTTTTTATTAGCCAAACCTATTGAAATACCAAGAATTAGCCAAATGTTAAATTTCAGTTAGAAATTTTGTTAATAATATTGATTTGGCAACATGATGCTGACTTGGAAGAGACACATGAAGATCAACATTCCAAAATTTTAGTATTTTAACTAGAAAAAGAGTTACAATATTTATTAACGATAACGTAAAAATAATTAATATTTTAATACATTAAGAAAGATTTGACTAACTAATAGTATTTAAATAAATTTAAATAGTATAAAAAACTAATAAAAATTTAGATAAAAAATAAACACTACTCAATTATTAATTGCGACGAATGTACAATTTCAAACCAAGTATACGGTCCCCACACAGTACAATGGCCCTTCAATTCTTGCAGGGAAAAGTGCGGTTTCTGGTGGGTCACCACCCCTCTATATACTATACCTCGCACTTTCGAGTTTCCTCCCTTCAAATTATTGCTCCCAAGTCCCAACTGGCCACTGAACTTGCACCCTTGGAGAGCTAGCTAGCTGAATCCTGAAAAGATCTCACCAGGGGGAGGAAAAAAAAAACAAAACAAAACACCTTTCCTTTTTCGTTCTTTCTTCCCACTTTTCCATATGAATTCGAGCAAGTCCCACAGCCACCAGCAAGCGGCCGCCGCCGCCACCGCATGCGGCGGGAAAACAGCCAGGGCATGCGACAGCTGCATCAGGAGGCGAGCCAGGTGGTACTGCGCCGCCGACGACGCCTTCCTCTGCCAGTCCTGCGACTCCTCCGTCCACTCCGCCAACCCGCTCGCCCGCCGCCACGAGCGGGTCCGCCTCAAGACCGCCTCCCTCAAGTCCCTCTCTCTCCCCGACGACGGAGGCGGAGGGGGCGGTGCAGCCGGCTCTCTTCCTCAGCAGCCGGCCAGCTGGCACCGCGGCTTCACCCGCAAGCCACGCACCCCACGCGCCAACGGCGCCACCAAAACGACGTCGTTTTCGTCGCCGCCCTCCGTCTCCAAGTCCAGCAATAGTAACACGATGCGGGCCCCACTCGTCCCCGAAGTCGGCTCCGACGACCACGACGAGGAGTCGGCGGCGGCGGAAGAAGAGCACCAGCTTCTTTATCGGGTCCCGATTTTCGACCCGCTCGAATTATGCAACTCCGACGACTCCTTCCCCCACCACCACCACCACCACCATCAATCCACCGTTTCCGCTTCAAACGGCTCATCAACCGGCGGCGATAGCAGTAATCAAGAGAGCCTGTTGCATATGCAGGGGCTGGTACTGCCGTCGGACATGGAGCTGGCGGAGTTCGCCGCCGACGTGGAGAGCCTGCTCGGGAACGGGCTGGAGAACGAGTCGTTCGGGATGGAGGAGCTCGGGATTCTCGACTGTAGTAACAAAGACGATGGTGACGTCAGCAAAATGGTGAAGATGGAAATTACCGGCGAGTTACTCAACGAGAATCATAAGCAGTACCACGACGGTGGCGGTGGTGGTGGAGGAGGAGAATTAGTGGTGATGGAATGTGGAGGAGGAGATGACGACTCCGATGAGCCCCCGTTCCAGCTCAGCTTCGAGTACGGCGACGAGGAGGGTGCCACGTGTCATGAGGAGGAGGAGGAGGAAAAAATGGTGATGCAGCTTAGAGCAGAAGGAGATGAAGTTGGAGATAACATGGAGATTGGTGGTAAGAAGAGGAAGAGGAACATACTGTTGAGGCTGAATTACGAAGCTGTGATGGCCGCTTGGGACACCACCACTCAAGGCTCTGCATCCCCCTGGACTAACGGACGGCGGCCGGAGTTCGACGTCAATGAATGCTGGCCCGACTGTATGGTGAGTGTCTCAATCGTCGGGTCGTCACAGATGGTTATATGTTTATCAATGTTTTTTGGATAGTGTTTAACTGATTGATTATTAATGTTGGTGGGATTTCCAGGGAGGTTGCGGGAGGGAGTATCTGCATCATCATCAGCACCACTTATTGGGGTACCAATTAGGAGAAGGGAGGAGTTTGGGTGCGGCGACGGCGACGGCGGGGGATGGAGGGAGGGAGGCGAGGGTGTCGAGGTACAGGGAGAAGAGGAGGACGAGGTTGTTCTCGAAGAAAATAAGGTACGAGGTGAGGAAGCTGAACGCGGAGAAGCGGCCGAGAATGAAGGGGAGGTTCGTGAAGAGGGCCAGTTTTGCGGCGGCGAGTACTACTACT